CCAACAGGGCACCATGTGGAAAGACAGGACAACAGGGTGAGCACAGAATAAATCCTGGGAGAGGTTTTTGCTGCAAAAGCACCAGGAACACAGGAGCACCTGGAAAAGCCTCTCTGGAGCTCTGCAAGGCTCTCAGGGCTTGTAATTCCCACTACACTGACCAAAAACCCTTGGAAAAGCCTCTCATGTTTGTCATTCCCATGGCACTGCCCAAAAACTCCTGAAAAGCCTCTCAGGAGCTCTGCAAGGCTTTCAGGGCTTGTAATTCCCACTACACTGACCAAAAACCCTTGGAAAAGCCTCTCATGTTTGTCATTCCCATGGCACTGCCCAAAAACTCCTGAAAAGCCTCTCAGGAGCTCTGCAAGGCTCTCAGGGCTTCTCATTCCCATAACATTGACCAAAAACCCTTGGAAAAGCCTCTCAGGTTTGTCACTCCTATCACAGTGACCAAAACCCCCTGAAAAGCCTCTCTGGAGCTCTGCAGGGCAGGCTCAGCCCCAGGTGCTCCTGCTCACAGGGAATTTCTCCTGCCTGGGGCAGCACTGGGGCTCTGTGTCCCCTCTGTGCCCTCTCAGAGCCCCTCCAGCCAGCACAGCAGCTCCCTGAGCACGAGGGGCAGAAGGAGGAGAGGGAAGAGCTACCCACCTTCCTCTAGCATGAGGGAGCCTGAATCCTCCACTTCTATCCATGCAAATAGTCCTACAGCCACTGGAACCCCATGAAATCTGGCACTGCAGAACAGAGGGTGTGTGAGGAGAGAAAGAGGAGAGATTAACAGGATTTTTGGGCAGGACAGGGATGAATCAGAGCCTGGGGAGCAGGTGCCAAGGGCTGGCTCAGGCCCTACAGCAGCCTGGGGGAGGCACTTGGAGACCCCCAGGGAAGCACGGAGCCCATTCCATGCGCCTTTGCTCTCCTCTGAGGTGTTTTTGAGATGAAACAACTCCCCTTCCATCCCCAGCTGCAGCGCAATTAGCACCAAGGAGAGCACTCCCCACTGCAGAGCCAGCAGGGAATCCTCTGCAGGGTCAGCCGAGGAGGGACCAGCCCTGGTTTGTAGGGAAGCTGCTCTGGGGGCTTGGGGAATCCCAAATCTGCTTTTCCTGCTGCCCCCTGTGCAGGCTGGCTTGGGGAATCACCAAATCTGCTCTTTCTGCTGCTCCCAGTGCAGGCTGGCAGTGCCACGGGGAACCAGCCTCAGCCCAGCCCCAGGCAGCTCTGCCCTGAGCCCTTCCTAAACTCAGCAAAGCCCCACAACCACACACAATTATTTTGCAGCCCATTTCTGCATTTCAAAGACCATCCAGACCCAGTGATATTGCTGATTTCCCAGCCCATGCTGCTGGAAACTACAGCACTGCCTCTAATCCTGGTTGTACCAACCAGAGAAGGAATTCCCTGCCAGCATTAATCACAGAGCAGCCAGCCCTGCCAGCTCCAGCCTTTTTGCTGGCAATGGGCACATCTGTGCCATTTGTGCTGTCCTGGTGCCCAATCCTCCCTGGGGCTGGGGCAGGGAGGAGCAGGCACTGCTGGGTCCTGTTCCAGCAGCACCTGAGCTCCTCCTGCCCTGCCTGGTTCCCAATCCCACCCATAGAGCAGCACAGGAACGTTTCAGCAGCACAGGAATGTTTCAGCAGCACAGGAACGTTTCAGCAGTACCAGAACATTTGAGCAGCACAAGAACGTTTCAGCAGCACAAGAACGTTTCAGCAGCACAGGAACGTTTCAGCAGCACAGGATCATTTCAGCAGCACAGGAACGTTTCAGCAGCACAGGAACATTTCAGCAGCACAGGAACGTTTCAGCAGTACCAGAACATTTCAGCAGCACAGGAACATCTCAGCAGCACAGGAACGTTTCAGAGCAGAGCCCTGCAGCTCCCAGGCAGGACTTTCTGAACCCCAGCATCATTTATTCAGCGTTGTTTGTGTGCAGGTGCCTCCAGGAGGGGGAGATTCCCACAACCCAGCACACAGGGCAGTAACTGGGGGCAAAGTTCCTCTGCCCTTCTTGCTGGAACAAAATGGTTTCAATAACTGCAAGCAGTGCTTCACCACCTCTGAAAACTCTGTGTGAATTCATCATTGCCCAGCTCCCCTCCCAGCAGAATCAGCCCCAAGCACAAACTGGACCTGGCCCTGGGGAGAGGCGACAAAGTGACAAAGTCCCCCCTGTCCCCTCAGACACCTCCTGTGCCCTCCTGACCCTTCTGAACACCCCAAACCTGCCATTCCTTAGGGCTTTGTCACTGCCTTGGTGCCTCCTGTGTGCCTCAGCCTCCTCTTTTTCACTCATGAACGTTTCACAGGATCAGAAACTTTGGGAAAGACCTCCAGGACCAGCCAGGCCAAGCATTAACCAGCCTTAACCAACCAGCCTTAACCATTAACCAACCCACGTCCCCAGGTGACCTGGACACCTCCAGGTGGTGATTCCACCTCTGCCTTGGGCAGCCTCTTTCCCCAAGAAACTGTTCCTAATATTGATAATATTTCCCCTAAAAATTGTTCCTAATATTGACAGTATTTCCCCCAGGAAACTGTTCCTAATATTGACCATATTGTTCCTAATATTGATAATATTTCCCCCAAGAAATTTTTCCTAATAATTGCTCCTAATAATGATAATATTGTTCCTAACAATTGTTCCTAATAATGATCATACTGTTCCTAATAATTGTTCCTAATATTGATAATACCATTCCTAGTAATTGTTCCTAATATTGATCATATTGTTCCTAATATTGATAATACCGCTCCTAATAATTGTTCCTAATATTGATAATATTGTCCCTAATATTTGTTCCTAATATTGATAATATTGTTCCTAATAATTGCCTCTCATATTGATCATATTGTTCCTAACATTTGCTCCTAATATTGATCATATTGTTCCTAATAATTGCTCCTCATATTGATAATATTGTCCCTAATAATTGTTCCTAATATTGATCATATTGTTCCTAATATTTGCTCCTCATATTGATAATATTGTTCCTAATATTGATCATATTGTTCCTAATATTTGCTCCTCATATTAATAATACTGTTCCTAATAATTGCTCCCAATATTGATAATATTGTTCCTAATAATCATTCCTAATATTGATAATATTGTTCCTAATAATTGTTCCTAATATTGTGCCTCTGCTGGCACAACTTGAGGCCATTTCTCACAGTTTCCTAATTTAAAAACAAACCAGAGCAGCTCAAACACCAATTAAGAGAGAGGAGTCAGAGCTCCTACACCTCATCCCTTCTCCTGGTGGGAATGAGAAGAACCCTTTGCATTTCTGGGATGCCACGGGTCCCAGGGAATTCCAGCAATGCTGATCAGGCCCAGCAGCTTCTCTGCAAAGCAAACAAGACCGAAACCCACTCTGACACCCAGGGTCAGCTGAGCCACGCAGGCTGCAGCAGGGTCACGGGGAAAAATGGATTTATGGCCAGATTGGCCTTTGGAGCTGCGCAGGGAAAGGGGCTTTGGGAAATTGTTAATGATGAGATTGGAGATGCAGCTGTGAGAGCAGAGTCTGGGAGCTGCCATGGCTGATTTACGCACACACACACCATAAACCCCTCCTGAGCCCATCCTCAAGATGTGATTGACGTTTTCACCCCATTCCCAAAGATATTCAGGTGTGGGGCTCCCTCTGGATCTGGGGTTCACTCACACACTCAGCAGAATGACTGACAAAACACATGAACACAACCAGACAGATTTTCTGAGAAGGCCTAAAACAGCTCACAGAGAGATGCAGCTCTGATTTGGAAGGACAGGGTATAAAACTGAATAAAACACAATAAAAACTGACAGAAACCCCAGCTTTTCCTCAACTTTCATTTCTAGTTGAAGGATCCTTCAATCAACAAGCAGATGTTGGTTTATTTATCCCAGACTGTCACTTGTGGACTTCTGCACCACCAGACGACCCTTCCCCAGACCCCACCCAGGGCAGGATCCCACAGGAGCATCTCTGGTTCCACACTGGGTGCATTTCAAACCAGCGAAATAACCCAAACCTTCCCAGAAACGCAACCCACCCTGCTCCCAGCGAGCTGGCAGCCCTGCAGCAGCGCGGGGAACCCGAGATTAATGAAATTACAAATCCAATCGTGCTCTGTGCGAGGCCTTTCTGCCTCGCTTGGCACCAGCCCTGGGGACGCTGCCGTGCCGTGCGCCTCAAGCTCCTTTGGCACAGCCCGCTGGGTCTGGGGACCTCCAGAGGGCTTCTCCAGCACCACAAACCCTTCCCACCTTCCTCAGCCACCCTCCCCACCTTCCTCTTAGCCACAGCACCACAGCATTTCCTCCAGCTGAAATGCAACATGGAAAAATCCAACAGGCCAACAAAGGGACTGGGGAGCGAGCGTAGCCGTGATATTCTATGAAAAACCCTTTTGCCAGGATTTTTCTCCTGAGAAGCTGGGAGGCCCCAGAAACAAAATGTAAACAATGGTTATCTGCTGCTGTGGGATGCAGCAGGTGCATCTGGGATTGGTCTCATGTGGTTGTTTTTAATTAATGGCCAATCACAGTCAGCTGGCTCGGACTCTGAGAGTCACACGAGCTTTTGTTGTCATTCCACTTCTTTCCTCCTGATGAAACGCTTTCTTCTGTTCTTTTAGTATAGCTTAAATATATATTAATATGTATAAAAACTATTATATATATATATGTACACACACACATATATATATATCATAAAATAATAACTAATATTTCATAAAATAATGTATATCACAAATATATATAATAAAATAATTATAATATGTAATAATATATATAATAATATAATACTATATAGATTAATAATAATAATAATAATAATAATAATACCTATCATAAAATAATGACTCAGCCTTCTGAAACACAGAGTCAAGATTTCCATCTCTCCCCTTGCCCTGGGACCCCTGTGAACAGCAGCACAGGCGAGAGGGAGCGGAGGGGAGGGAGCCCACGAGCCCGGGGCAGCAGGGGCGCCCCAGCCTCACCTGCTGCTGCCAGCCCCACGTCCAGGGGGTTCCTCTTGAGCTCGCAGCGGCTCTGGCTCTCTGGCATGCCGAGCTGGCGGCCCTGCTGCAGGCTGGAGATGATGCTGGACAGGTCGGTGTCGCGGCTGCGGCAGAGCACAGAGACCCCACGTTAGGGAAACCGCACCTCTGAAAGCACCTGAAGTACCAATCCCCCAGAACTGATTTTTCCCCCAATGTGAGCACAGCTGGGAGAGGTTTTTGTGTGCGGCAGCACTGCTGGATTGCAGGATTGCCCCTTCCTTCCCTCCTTCCCCTCCCTCCCTCCGTAACCTCTCCCGGATTTTCGAGGATTCCAAAGCCCTTCCCAAACTCCCCTCTCATTTCCCATCAAGGGCCCTGCAGCTGCCAGAGCTGCTGATTCCTGGTCCCAGCCCTGCCAGAGAGAACTTGCGTGGGCCAGGACTCGCATCGAGGATGGAAAATCTGCGAGCGGAGGAATTGGCAGAGCTGCTCCAGAATGAATAGGAAACTTGAACTGAAATAACTGATAGTTTTCTATCAGCTGCCACCCTTCTATTCTTGCAAACCCAAGTTTTTCCATTCCATCAGTGCTGGGACAAAAGGCTGTTTGGTTTGATTGAATGATGGTTTTCTCCTCAGAGAGGAACCCACCACGAGCCCGGGCAGCAGCGTTCCCCAGAGCTGAGGGCACAGATTTATTTACAAAACCCATTTTCAACTCCCCCTGCAACAGATCCTGAAACAATGCTCTTCCTTCTGGGAAAGAGACTGTGTTAGAGCAATTCAGCATTATTTTGCCTGCTCTCCTTGCATCACACTGCTGCTAACTAGGCTGGGTTAGTCCTTTTTTCTATTTGTTTTTTCCTTCTATGGAGATAATGGACACAACAACCAATTCGCTGTAGCAGATACTGCAGCTCAGTGGTGAATTCTTTTGCTGGCCAACCACTCTCCAGTTGCAAAATATTCCTGAGTCAAGGATCTACAAGGAGCGAGGAGGAGGAAGAAGGTGGCAGGAGCTGGTGGTGCTGGAACATCTCCCTTTGGTTTGTCCGCTTGCAGGAGATGCTGAGCTCCCCATCCTGTCAGCACCAGGGGCTCACCCCCAGCTCAACAGGACAACTTCTCCTCCTGCCCTGCCTCTGAAGGGAGGATGAGAGCCAGGAGAGCCAGAGACACTTGGCAGAAAGGACAGAAATAAGTGAGGAATAAACGAGGAATAAACGAGGAATAAACGAGGAACGCTGCCCTCCCTGCCCAGCCACAGCTCCCTCCCTGCTCCCACCCGGGGTGTCCTCACCTGGGCCCGGCAGGGCAGCCCGGAGGGTGCATTATCTGCAGCATTACCAGCCCTGATCTGCCTTAAATATCCCCCCGTGCTGCTGCTGGCCCCGAGCAGCTCCGGGGCTCCAGCCCAGCCCGGCTGCAGCAGGGACGGAGCTAATCCGCGTCTAGCTGCTGCTAAGCTCATCAGCCCAGGACAGAAAGTCTTGAGGTACTTTCAGCGGGCGTCTGGCCGCAGATGGCAGGGGAGCTGCAGACACAAACAGCCCCTGATTCCCTCCAGGATCCCCATCCCGGGGGGATCAGCAGGAGCAGGGATGCCGGGCTCCCAAATCCCCCGAGCAGCCTCCCACCTCCCCCCGGAGCTCCTTATGCAAGCACGAGGCTCATTACTTAAGCAAGCCCACAGGTGAGTGGGAAGCCCATTTCTCCTGTGCCAAGCAGTTTTGGGTCTTATCCTCTTTTAGCTGCCACCTTTAAGATGCATTATGCAAATATTTTGGTGTCTTAAGTCATTTATGGGATTAATGTGAAGTGATTATCAGTTCTTTTTAATCATGCCAATCAATAAGCGGCTGTCAGGGACAGAGGACAAATGCAGATAAACGCTGCCATCAGCACAAGGCCCGGAAAGGGCGGAGGAGAGGAGCCAGGAGAGCAGGGAGTGGGAAGAGAGAAATGGGATAATTGCATCTTTGCATTTGCACGCTGCCTCGCATCCCAATGGAGCCCAGAGCAGGCTGCTGGGCAAACACCTTCGGCTGCTGGGAGGGATTGTTCCACCCAGCAGGAAAATGCAGCCCCTCTCCGTGGAGCAGCTCCTCAGAGCCCAGGGAGGGCAGAACACCCGGAGGGATCCAGGGGAAACAGAGCCCAGTGCAGGGAATCGTCGCCACCAGCACCAGCAGCGCTGCTCTCCTGTCCCCAAAGAAACATCATGGTGTGCTGCTCTCCTGTCCCCAAAAAAAAACATCATGGTGTGCTGCTCTCCTGCCCCCCAAAAAAACATCATGGTGTGCTGCTCTCCTGTCCCCACAGAAACATCATGGTGTGCTGCTCTCCTGTCCCCACAGAAACATCATGGTGTGCTGCTCTCCTGCCCCCACAGAAACATCATGGTGTGCTGCTCTCCTACCCCCAAAAAAACATCATGGTGTGCTGCTCTCCTGCCCCCACAGAAACATCATGGTGTGCTGCTCTTCTGCCCCCCCAAAAAAAATCATGGTGTGCTGCTCTCCTGCCCCCAAAGAAACATCATGGTGTGCTGCTCTCCTGTCCCCACAGAAACATCATGGTGTGCTGCTCTCCTGCCCCCAAAAAAAACATCATGGTGTGCTGCTCTCCTGCCCCCAAAAAAAACATCATGGTGTGCTGCTCTTCTGCCCCCCAAAAAAAAATCATGGTGTGCTGCTCTCTTGCCCCCAAACCTCCTGCTGTCTGATTTTCCATGGTTTAAAATAAAAACCATCAAGGTGTGCACAGGTGCATCAGCAAATCCATGTTCAGGGGGCCACAAGCTCAGTCCTGCCTCAGTTTACCCCTGGAGCCAGGCAGAACCCAGTCCCATTCTCCACCCCACTAAAAACACATCGAGGTGTGCACAGGTGCATCAGCAAATCCACGCTCAAGGAGCCACAGGGACACTCCTGCCTCAGTTTACCCACTGGATCAGGCAGATCCCAGTCCCATTGTCCACCCCAGCCCCCAGGCTGCTGGCCTGTGACCCCAGTGGGCACAGAGGTGCTGACAGATGTCCCCGAGGGTCACAGCCACCCCCAGCCTGCCCAGGCAGACCCAGGCTGGCACAACGCCTCCCAAATGCGCTTCATTTGCGGCCATTAGCAGCGAGTGCATGTCTGAGGAGGAGAGGGACGAGCAGACTAATGGCTGGAGACAATTAAGCAGAGGATAAATCAGTGTCAGGGCTCTGCAGAGCGCAGGCAGCCAGGCGCCCGCAGGCTCTGCTCGCAGACTGCACGGGGGAAGGAGACGGCCCGGGCAAAATGGGAATAACTCCCACCAGGGGCTGCCCTTCCTGGGCAAAATGGGAATAACTCCCACCAGGGGCTGCCCTTGCCGGGCAAAATGGGAATAACTCCCACCAGGGGCTGCCCTTGCCGGGCAAAATGGGAATAACTCCCACCAGGGGCTGCCCTTCCTGGGCAAAATGGGAATAACTCCCACCAGGGGCTGCCCTTGCCGGGCAAAATGGGAATAACTCCCACCAGGGGCTGCCCTTGCCGGGCAAAATGGGAATAACTCCCACCAGGGGCTGCCCTTCCTGGGCAAAATGGGAATAACTCCCACCAGGGGCTGCCCTTGCCGGGCAAAATGGGAATAACTCCCACCAGGGGCTGCCCTTGCCGGGCAAAATGGGAGTAACTCCCACCAGGGGCTGCCCTTGCCGGGCAAAATGGGAATAACTCCCACCAGGGGCTGCCCTTGCCGGGCAAAATGGGAATAACTCCCACCAGGGGCTGCCCTTCCCCTCCTGCAGCGCCCTCTGCCCCCAGTGAGGAGGTGCTGGGGCTGCTCCCAGCGCCTCATCCTCCTCACGAGTGAGGCTGAAGGAGCCGGGCAGGCTCTGCCACCCTGCTGGCACTGCCAGCTGTGCCCTGCCCTGAGCCCCAGGGTCACCGCAGAGAGATGCCAGCCAGGAGAAGGGATGTGCCAGGCAGAGGAGGAGTTCAGCCAGCTGCAGCTGCCAAGGGCTGCTCCAGAGTGAGGGGTGGGTGTCAATGTGGAGCTCCAGAGTGAGGTGTTGTGTAATTTTGGAGCTCAGGCTCTCCCTGCCCTGCTCCAGAGTAAGGTGTTGGTGTAATTTTGGAGCTCAGGTTGTTCTTGCTCTGCTCCAGAGTGAGGTGTTAGTGTGAATTTGGAGCTCAGGCTCTCCCTGCCCTGCTCCAGAGTGAGGTGTTGGTGTGAATTTGGACCTCCAGAGTGAGCTGTTGGTGTGAATCTGGAGCTCCAGAATGAGATCCTGTGTAATTTTGGAGCTCAGGCTCTCCCTGCCCTGCTCCAGACCTCACTGGGCTGGCAGCTCTGGGCTCTGGGATGCCCAGGAATGGAGCAGACAGCAGAGGCCACCTGGCCCTGCAGCCTCAGGAGCTCCAGAGAGAGCTGGGACAGAACCTCAGGGACTCCCAAAGCAGCAGGGACAGAATTCCACAGGTCCAGGAACTGCAGGAGAGCTGAGGGAATGGGGAACAGACCCAGCACCACACCAGAGTGGGGAACTTTCCCTAAAGCTCCATCAAATCAAAGCAAAGCTGGGAAAACACACTCAAAATTCTCTGCAGGAATGCAAAGTAGGGGACTGGAAGAGAAGAGAGACTCAGAAAGTGAAATAGGGAAGGAAATAAAATGGAAAAACATTTCTTTTAGAACACATCCCAGCGGCTCTCCATCCCTTTAACGATCAGGCAGTAAGTGCAGGGATTATATTAAATTTTCCCGATCAATAGAGCAGCCATAAAACTGCCCCGACCCTCTGCCCCTCCCTCCAATAAAGAAAGGGAAAATCCAATATGCAAAGGGAGGGATGTCAGAGCTGCAGGGAGGGGACAGCAGGGCAGGCACCGGGGCAGGGGCAGCTGCACCCAGGGCTGTTCCAGGGCTCAGGTGCAGGCTCAGGGCATTCCCTCTGCATTGGAAACCCTGGGTGTCACTGCCCCCCTGACCCCGCCTGGCCAGGCCGAGGCACCAGCAGGAATTCTGAGCGATCGGTGTCTCCTGCAATGGAACAACCGTCCCTGGCTGTGCCCTGGCTGGCCCCAAGCAAGGTCAGTGTCCCAGGGCAGCCCTAAGCCGGGCTCCTGAGTCAGCAGAGGCAGGGCTGGGATCAGGGAAAGCCTCAGCTCAGCCCCAGCGCCCCTCCTGGCCACGGTCACCTTGGGCAGAGCCCCAAAGCCACCCAGGGCCACCCGGGGCTGGGATTGGGGTCAAGGGGACAGGGCAGGGTGGGGGCAGCGGCCTGAGCCCTCCTGTGGGGCTGGCACCTTCCTGGCAGGGCTGGTACATGTCCTGTGGGGCTGGCACCTTCCTGGCAGGGCTGGCACCTTCCTGGCTGGGCTGGTACATGTCCTGCTGGGCCGGCACCTGTCCTGCAGCACCAGCCCCTCCCTAGCTGGGCTGGCACCTGTCCTGCTGGGCTGGCACCTGTCCTGCAGCACCAGCACCTGTCCTGCAGCACCAGCACCTGTCCTGCAGGGCTGGCACCTCCCTGCTGGGCTGGTACATGTCCTGCAGGGCTGGCACTTGTCCTGCAGCACCGTCACCTGTCCTGCCAGCACTGGCACCTCCCTGGCACAGTCAGCCAAGGCAGCTCCTGGAAATGCCCCCCACCACAGGAGCAGGATGTTCCCATGGGAATTAATTCTGTTCTCTAAACAAAACCCAGCAAGCAAAGCTCAGGGAAAGCCACCCCTTATTATTATTTTGATTTGTAAAACATATTTTTATATATTTATCATATAAATATATTTTATAGTATATTTATACTGTATATTGCATTGTATATAATTACATATTATATTGTATTATTGTATATTATTATACTCTATTATATATTATATTTTATTTTATACTTATATATTATATTATATTGTTATACACATTATGTATTTTATTGTATTATCATATATTATACTCTATTATATATAATATTGCTATATGTATTGTATTATATTTATTCTATTTATTATATATAAAAATATATTTTATTATTAAATACAAGTATATACTATAAATACATTTCTTTCTTGTGTATTATAATATGTATATGTATATTATGTTTTATATATTATATTGTATAGTGTGCTTACTATTATTATTATTATTATTTTGAATTTGTATTATATTTTCATTGCTCTCCTTTTGCGTAACTTTTAAGACTTCCCCCCTGGTACAAAGCCCTGTGTGTCACTGTGTCCTTGTCACCCACGATCTGCCAGAACAATTCCCCAGCCTCCCCCTCTGCCTGCCAGGGCCCTGCACCCCTGAGCTTCACCCAGCAGCACCAAGGGAAAAGGGGACATGAGGAGAGGAAAACAGGAGGATAAACAAAGTTTTCCCAACTGGAGGGAGCAGAGAGGCCTGAAAACCCCAACCCTCCCCATGGGCAGCACAGCCCTAAATCTCCCTGCAGCCTGAGCCTGGAAAAACAAATTAATCATCCTGCAATGTCCCCAGCAAAATGCCCATAAAATTTCATTAATGCTCGTGACAGTTCATAAAAATGATCAGTAGGGCTGGCAACTCCAAAATAAGGTGGAAATAAGTATGAAGATGTTTTCACTGTAAGCCTGCTCTGTCATTCAGCTCCCTGCAAGCTCATAAATAAAAAGCAGCTGGAATTGCAGCACCCTGAGAGAGGGAGGAGAGGCATCCCTGAGTGTGGGACCTGTCAGGAGATTTCTGCTCTGCAGGGACAGGGACGTGGGGCTGGCACAGCTCACGGGGCTCAGGGCTCCTCCAACACCCCGAATTCCCCTCATTTCCTCCCCTCACCAAGGGCAGATGGTGAAATATTAAAATGATATTAAAATAATGCAATGCGTGGAATAAAATAATGGGAAAAATGGAAAATAAAATGAGCAGCTTTGATCGGTGCCACTGATAATGTCACTTGTGTCACCCAGCAGAGCTCTGCTGAGTCAGGAGCAGCCTTGACACCTCCACCAGCAGCTGCTTTTCAATCCTGCCCTGCTCTCCTTTCCAAAGCACGGAGCTAAATCACTGCAGTTCCCATTTTCTCTGCTTCTCCCATCTCCTTTCCCAGGTGTTTTTCACCTCCTCCTTTTCCCCAGCCTGATTTATGTCCCTTCTCCCCTGTTCCATTCCCCTTCAGCAGCTGCACACCCAGCAGGGCAGGTGTGGGACAGCACCTGAACCTGTCTGCCAGCCCTGCTGGAACTGAAATCTGCTTTACAGGGCTGGTGCTGCTCAAACACAGAAACCCCCAAATCCTTCCTCTGCCACACAGCACTACCAGGTTTGTTCCCTTTTACATGGGCTGGATGGGCGGCTTTTGACAGCTGGGCTCCTCAGGAAAAGCAAAACTTCTGCTCCCAATAGGAATTACTGAGGTTTCTCCCAGGACAGAGCTAAACTGAAGGGAACAGTCAAGCTGAGGAAGACCAGGAAATGCATCTGACATAAAAACCAGACCATTATTTTATTCCACACACTGCAAGCTCAGAATTATTTTTTTTAAGACAGGGATTCTAATTTCCAAAGGTGTTGGCACCCTCAGCTGCCATTGTGCAGAATCATTGCTCACAGGGCCATTAATTAAGGCACTGTCAGCACTTCCATCCCAAACCTCTGCCTTTTAGGAGTTTATAACGACCATAAAATTCTGCTCTGGGCTGAAATTTCGCATGGAAGGAATCCATCCCTTTGTATTTGAGAGTCCCAGCACTTGGAGCAGCCAGGCAGGGTTTGCAGTCTAGGGCTGCCTTTCCCAAACCTGCTTTTATGGTGCTGAGCTGCTGCACTGGCTCCTGGTGCTCACTGTGGGCTGGGTTTGTGCTCCTAACCTGGAACACTTGGGAATTGTGGCGGTTTGTGGCTCACAGCTACAGCCTGAAACACCAGTTCAACACCAGAGAATTGCTCTGCCCTCACTGCTCCCTGCTGGAGGATGAGCCCACGTGGATTTCCCACCTTCATTATTCCCATGGCCAAGGCTGAATCCCTCTCCAGTTAAAGACATGGACATTGCTCCAGCAGTAGCAATAATTTCCCTTTTTTTCCATCTCTAACTGAACAGGCTCACACAAAACGCCAAAAATTCCCTTTTAGCAAAACTCCAATTTCCCCCTGGCAGATCCTGATTTCCCCAGCACCCAGGAGTGGAGGGACCCCCCCAGACCCCACCCTGCCTCCTCCTGCTGCTTTCTCCTCCCTGAGAAGTTTCCCAGCTCAGATTCATTGCTCTCATTCCACAAATCAATCAGTTTTCTACAACTCAAGGGCTGCATCCTGATCTGGAAATCCAGAATGAAAAAAACCTTTCAAAATGCCAGGTTTTAGTGCACATTTCTGGGTTTTTAAAGGATGAGAGGAGTTTGTGGCTGCTGGCAGCACATGAAGATAATGCACCACGCCCAGGATGTCAGGGGTCACAGAGGAATATTCAGTTTGCAACTGGAGAGCCTCAATTCATGAATTTCCACCTTCTTGGGACCAGAGTAAACCCATCAAAATTGGGGTTCCTTTAGAAATCTCATCAATCCTCTCTTCCAATGGAAAAGGGACTGTTTGCCCCACAACTTCCCCCAAAATAACAACAAAAGAGAGGGTGTGTGGGAAGGGGAGGATGAGGAACTAAGGGAGGAAGAAATTAACCCCAGAACTGCCAGAAATGTTCATTTCCATCCATCAGCACCCAGGAACAATCAGAAACTCTCAGCCCACCACACAGAGAGGGGCCCAAAAACGGTACCTGCAAGAGCTCTCTCGGAAGGAGATGTTCAGATCCCAGTGGGTGTGAATCCTGCAACAACAAACAAACCAAAAACAGAGCTCAGAGGCAGGGCTGAGCACTCATGTCCTGCCCCTGAACCCTGCTCCAGCCTGGGGACCCCGAGAGACCCCCCAGCCCCAATTCCTGCCTTGTTTAGCCCCAGTTCCAGCCCTGTCCAGCCCCAATTCCTGCCTTGTTTAGCCCCAGTTCCAGCTCCAATTCCTGCCTTGTTCAATCCCAATTCCAGCCCCAGTTCCTGCCTTGGCCAGCCCCCAATTCCAGCTCCAATTCCTGCCCAATTCCAGCCCTGTCCAGCTCCAATTCCAGCCCCAATTCCTGCCTTGTTTAGCCCCAGTTCCAGACCCAATTCCAGACCCCAATTCCAGCCCCAATTCCTGCCCAATTCCAGCCTTGTCCAGCCCCAATTCCAGCTCCAATTCCTGCCTTCTCCAGCCCAAATTCCAGCCCCATCCCATTTTAACCCAGGCCTGGCCCAGTTCCCCATCCCAGTTTAACTCAGGTTTGCTGAAGCCTGGCCCAGTTCCCCATCCCAGTTTAACCCAGTTTAACCTAGGCCTGGCCCAGTTCCCCATCCCAGTTTAACCCAGGCCTGGCCCGGCTCCCCATCCCAGTTTAAGCCAGGCCTGGCCCAGTTCCCCATCCCAGTTTAACCCAGGCCTGGCCCGGCTCCCCATCCCAGTTTAAGCCAGGCCTGGCCCAGCTCCCCATCCCAGTTTAACCCAGTTCTGCTCTCCGTGGGGGCCAGCAAAGCCCCCCAGCCCGGGGAGGCCACAGCAGGTGAATTAAGGCCGGAGCAGATGGGACACAGCCCCTGCAGGGCCCAGCTGTCGTGTCTGGGCTCTGGGGCCGCTGTGCTGCTCCTGACGTCCCCAGGGCCATCACGAGGGGGTCAGGCTGCTCCTGATGTCCCCAGGGCCATCACAAGGGGGTCAGGCTGCTCCTGACGTCCCCAGGGCCATCACGAGGGGGTCAGGCTGCTCCTGATGTCCCCAGGGCCTCCCAGGGCCATCACAAGGGGGTCAGGCTGCTCCTGATGTCCCCAGGGCCTCCCAGGGCCATCACAAGGGGGTCAGGCTGCTCCTGATGTCCCCAGGGCCATCACGAGGGGGTCAGGCTGCTCCTGACGTCCCCAGGGCCATCACAAGGGGGTCAGGCTGCTCCTGATGTCCCCAGGGCCATCACAAGGGGGTCAGGCTGCTCCTGACGTCCCCAGAGCCTCCCAGGGCCATCAGGAGGGGTCACTGTTCCATTCTCCCCCCACTGGAACAGGAGACCCCTGGGCTCCCCTGTCTGAGGGATGAACGCTCAGGGATGCTGGGGCTGGGAGCAGGAGATGCTCCCTGGGCACTGAGCACTGAATTCCTGGTTTTTCCACCTGTTCCTGCCCTCAGGGGAATTCTACCTGTCCCACCTGCCCCCCACACTGCAGCACAGGTCCCAGGGAAGGAAAGAACAAATGCACAAAATCAGGGAAATGAAAAGCACAAGGGCACAAAATCAGGGAAAGGAAAAGAGCAAGGGCTCAAAATGAGGGAAAGGAAAAGAAAAAGGGTAAAAAAGCAGGGAAAAGAAAAGGGCAAGGGCACAAAATCAGGGAAAGGAAAAGAGCAAGGGCACACAATCAGGGGGAGCTGAACCCAGCTGGGAGAATCCTGCTCCCCCCAAGGAAATTAAAATTAACCAAGGGGCACAAACTGCAGGAGAGCACAGCCCTGGCAGGCTGGGGATCACTGCCTGGGAGCTCCCACACATTCCTCCTTCATTTCCCAGCAAACCAGGCACAGCAATTACAGTAATTAAAGATTTGAGATAAGGGCACTTTGTGTTTGGGGGGCCCAGCGTTATCAATTGCAGTTATCACGTTGTTCTCCCCCTAATGAGACAACCCAGCACTAATTCTGCTGCATTAAAAGCACAATTAAAGGGGCAGGAGGGGCAGGGCAGATCACCAAAGCTGACTGGGAGGGTTCCCTGAGCTCCTGAGCAGCCCAGGTGCATCCCAAAACACATTTCCATTTCCAGCAGCACCACTGGACAGCTGCAATGATAAAATTAATTACAGGAGGCTTTATGGGCAGAGCTGGCTGCTCCTTCCCTGAGCTGCTGAGGGTACCAGCATCTGTCTGAGCAGGGGGAACAGCTCCTGCACTGCCAGCCAAGGAGCACATAAACCACCCGGAAAGCAATTACTGCCCTCAGCTCCCTCTGCTCTGCTTTTACAGCCTTGTCTCAGGAGCTGAGCCCTGCTGTGCATCACGGGGAGGTGACAGCCCAGGGGGACGGGGCACAGTCCTTTGGGGCTGTGCTCTCTGGGGTCACAGATTTCCTGAAATTCCTGCTTCTCCAGAGGGCTGGGAGCACCTGGAATTTGGGAGCTGAATATTGAGGGCACTGAGGCCCCCAGGAGAGGATCTGGAATTTGGGAGCTGAATATTGAGGGCACTGAGGCCCCCAGAAGAGGATCTGGAATTTGGGAGCTGAATATTGAGGAGGGCCCCGGTGAGGGTCACCACTCACTCAAGGCCATCCCTTCTCCTCCTCTAGGGCTGCACAGTCCCAGCATGAACGTCCATGGCACTGAGAGGAACAGGACCAAAATCCAGCAGCTCCTGCTCCCTGCTGCAATTCCAGCATCGTTCCCCTGCCCCCGGAGGCTCTCAGGATGCTCTGAGGCTTGGAACCAAACACAGAACCCCACAACACCTTGGCTCCCTGGGGCAGGGCTGCCTGTGCCCAGGTTCCTGTGCCCGTGTGCCCCCAGCCCTGCCCGCAGGTACCTTCTTTTCATGATACTGATGTGCAGGTCCTCCTCCTGCTTCACGTGGGGCTGCTGCTGCCCATGGCTCCTGTCGCTGTCCTGGCTGTCCTCGCTGGGGGACAGGAGGGGGCCCAGCTCCTTCTTGGGGACCCTGCTGGGGGGCAGGGGGATGCTCCTCTTCTCTGCCAGCCGGCCCCGGTTCTGCCACGGGAGAGACAAAAACACAGGGTTTGGTGAGGAACCTCAGCATTTCCACAAACACCACTGAGAAACCTCAGCATTTCCACAAACACCGAACAAAAACTTGCTCATCTCCGTCAGAAAGCTCTTCCTGACCAGCCACAGCTGTCACACACGGCTCACAAAGCACACGTGGCTCACACTCGGTCACTTTTTAAAGGACTTTGCAGCTCAGGCACTTCTGATTGTGATTTCTCCAGTCCTGACCAAGCCCTGCCCTTCCAGCCTCTCCCAGCCCTTCATCCCCAGCCTGCCCCTCATCCTCAGGGAGGGGAAAGGAGGGAGGCAGCACAGTCAGGCTCCAATCTCTGCCTCCAGAATATTTCCCAGCTCACCACTCAGTGAAAGCTTTCCCAGGGAACTCCTGACCCTGCAAACCACAGAGCTGCACTGCCACTGCCCCACAGAATCGCAATCTCAGCCAATCAAATGGAACTGGATTTCATTTTTAATCCAAGTCCCAGTGGAACTGGGATGGGAACCCCAGCGAGGCCATGAATTTGAAAATATCAAAGCTGTCTGCAAGGTGATTCACGTGCCTGTGATTCAGCCCTCAGAAATAATTATTATTGGATAAAAACCTGCAGGAGAAAGCGGCCCCTGCTCCCAGGTGAGGCTGGCAAGCACAGGGAGCAGCCAGGGAACGCTGGGGCAGCTCTGGGAGCAGGAGCATTCTAAATCCCTTCCATATGTGAAGGAAATCCTCGAGCCCAGACAGCATTTTCCCCCTCTTTTTATTGATAACAAAGATAGGGGAGAGGAAAGGGGGAGGCTCAGAGAGCCTGGGATATTTTCCTTTGCTTTTCCCAATAACAAACCTGGGGAATGGCTTTAATTAGGGCATTACAGAGCAGAGGGGACACATTCCCTGCAGGAGTGGCAGAGTTTGCACTCCCCTCAGCTGTGATCAGTGCCAACACCTCCCAGAGGGCCGGGATAATCCTGCCCTGTCCCTGTCCCCTGGGCCTTCATTAGCCCCGAGTGCTCCAGGGAAACATCCAGCAATTATTAAATAATAACATAAATGATAATATAAACAATAGCAATAAACAATAATTAATAATTATAACTATATTTATAAATATAAAACAACTTATAACTATATTTATAAATATAAATGTAAATATAAATTTAAATGTAAATATAAATATAGATTATAGGTATAAATATAAATATAGATATAGGTATATATAAAATATTAATGTAAATGTAAATATAAATAACTGTAAATAATAATTATGGATAATAAATCTATATTTTAGATTTAAACATCGAAATAATACATATAAATAACAAATAGAAATAATAAATCTAAATAATAAGTTAATTTTTTTCTCTGGAGACATTTCCCCAGCTCTCAGGGAGCAGAGGGTGTGGATGCTCTCAGACATTTCCCCTCTGTTCCCAATCCCAGCTGTGGCACCTCTGGAGCAGCAGAACAACAGGAGCAGCTCCCAGGGCTGTCCCTGTCCCCACGCACAGAACGCTGCAGAACCACCCAAAAATGCCAATTCCCCTCCCCTGCGCCCTTTCCTGCAGTTTTACTCCTTTCCCAGCCTCCCGTGCCTCCCACCCCACACAGCCCTGAGCCTGCAGCCCCGCTCTGCCATTTCCCTGCCACACCTGGGGGATTTCCCAGCAAATTGTATTACTTTATTTGGTCAATTGGCCTACAAATTGATTTTCCTGTACAAATAATGAACATTTATGGTTATTTTCCCCATAGACTGCTTTATTTCACGTGTAACAAAGACTGATTTCCTGCAGGTTTCAGACCTGAGCTGCAGCTCCTGTGACCCCTGGCTGATGGATGGCAAAGGGCTCCAAGCACAACTGGAGGGTTTGGGGCTTTTATTTCTACCCTGAGGTGGCTGCTGGAAGCAAATGTTGGTACCAGAGCGAGGCATTCCACAGAATAAATGGGAATAAATTGTTTTAGAAGAGATTCAGTGCTGGGATCAGGCCAAGGAAATGCAGGGGAAGGAGATGGGGATAGAGGGCAGAGCTGGCCTGTCCATCACAGATTTTGGGGGAGTGGGCACATCAAAAATCACCAGAACACACAGCCAGCTGCAAAGGATAAATCCTGGTACCCCCAAAATCACCAGAACACTCACGCAGCTGCCAAGGATAAACCCTGCACCCCAAAAATCACCAGAACACTCACCCAGCTGCCAAGGATAAATCCCTATATCCCAAAAATCACCAGGAACACTCACCCAGCTGCAAAGAATAAATTCCTATACTCCAAAACTCGCCAGAACACTCACCCAGCTGCAAATGATCAATCCCTGCACCCCAAAAATCACCAGAACACACCTCCAGCTGCAAAGGATAAACCCTACACCCCAAAAATCACCAGCTCAGCACTCTGTGAGCCCCACCAGGTGACACCACGCGATTTCACAACATTTGTGTTCATAACTAATGCTGGGAAATGAGTGACCAATAAATGCAGTGGCTTCCCAAGGAGCACAAGGGAGGGTGCAGGGGGTGTTGGGAGTTGTGTGTTTTGAAGGTAAACACAAAGAGAATATAAAAAAAAAGTAATACTAGAGAGGTAAATAATTCATCAAAAGAGTGGAGAACAAGAAGCTGGGAGGGAAGAAAGGAAAAGGAGCAATGCCAGAGGGAAGAGTCTTCTGAGAAGGTGAAAAAACCCCAGCCTCACATGGGAGTGGAAGCAGAACCAGAGTCAATTGGGGTAAAACAGAGGGGAAGTTTGGAAATTTAATGTGGAAATGGCCTCTCCCCTCTGGGCACTGAGGAATTCCAGGGTGGGAAGCAGAGCTGGGGTCTGACACCATGGACAGAGCCTTGGAGCAGCGACAACACTGCAGGGCTGGGGATTCCTGAGGGAATTCCAGGAGCAAAAACCACCCAGAGCCCCCAACCCTCACCTGTGACACACTCAGCAGGGCTGGGGATGCCTGAGGGAATTCCAGAATTCCAGCAGCAATCCCACCCAGAGCCCCCAACCCTCATCTCTGACACACTCAGCAGGACTGGGGATGCCTGAGGGAATTCCAGAATTCCAGCAGCAATCCCACCCAGAGCCCCCAGCCCTGACCTGCTGCACACAAACCCTCACTAACACACTGTGCCCACAACCTGGAGGTTTCCTCAGTTTGGGAACCACAACCTGCTGCAGGGTTTTGCTGCTGGCCACTCTGCAGCTGCTCTGAGCCCCAGCCCACCTGCAGAAAGCCAAGTGAAACCACGAAATTTCAGAGTGAACACGCTGGGTCTGTCCTGCACCCCAGGCTGGGATGATGCCTGGAAAGGCCCAGGCTGGGGTTCCACCTGCATGAGCTCAGGTAAAACACACCTGTGCTGGGCAGGGGAGCTGTGAGAGCACCTCCTGCACAGCAACCTCAGAAGCCCAATCTAACCTTTACCTGCTGATTTCCCAGGCCCCTCAAAACAGAACAGCCCAGCAAATAGGAGCTGCACCAGTGACACTGTGCCAATCCCAAATCCCCTGAGCTGCAGCAGCCTCGGGCTCCTCCTGATCCTCCTGGGCTCTGCTAAGCAGCTCCGGGTCACCCCTGGGCACTGCAGCAGGCTGGCACAGGGAAAGCGAAACCCCACCTGGCTGCGTTTCCGTCTCATCTTCCTCCTGCAGGAGCCGCCACCTGCAAATCCCAGCTCTGGATTCACCCCTGCAGACAGCCAGAGCCAGGGTGGCACCTGCTCCACAGGTCAGGGAGGAATCCTGCTCCTTGGGACTGGGGATTTGGGCCGTGGAGAAATCCTGCTCCAGGGATTCTTGCCATGGAGAAATCCTGCTCCATGAATTCCTGTCATGGAGAAATCCTGCTCCAGGGATTTGGGCCATGGAGAAATCCTGCTCCATGAATTCTTGCCATGGAGAAATCCTGCTCCAGGGATTCTTGCCATGGAGAAATCCTGCTCCATAAATTCCTGTCATGGAGAAATCCTGCTCCAGGGATTTGGGCCATGGAGAAATCCTGCTCCATGAATTCTTGCCATGGAGAAATCCTGCTCCAGGGATTTGGGCCGTGGAGAAATCCTGCTCCATGAATTCTTGCCATGGAGAAATCCTGCTCCAGGGATTTGGGCCGTGGAGAAATCCTGCTCCAGGGATTCTTGCCATGGAGAAATCCTGCTCCATAAATTCCTGTCATGGACAAAACTTGCACCAGGAATTCCTGCCATGAACAGCCCTGCCACGGACAAATTCTGCTCCAGGAATCTTTCTCAGGATTTCCCTCACTCCAGCTCAAAGCAAAAGTAAAACACCAATGCCAGAGCACAGCACAACGTGCCCTGCACTCCACAGGGTGTGCAGTACCACGCCAATAATAATAAAAGTTATTTATTTAACAGGGTCATCTCTGCACAGGCAAAACCCAGCACAAACCCAAATTCTGATGGAGAAACGGCCAAAATAAGGGTTAAACCAAACCAGGGTCAAACTCTCACACCCCTTGGTTCTGCAGGCAGCAGCTCAGGAGTGAGGCAGCCCCTGAGCAGTGAATGCCCCATTAAAACCAACAGGATCAGGAGCACAAATCCCCGCAGAGCCTCCCCAGGCCCAGCTGGAGCTGCTGAGGCAGGGGAGCCCTGCCCAAACCCTGCAGCAGCACCAGGCACACCCCTGCCTCTGCTGGGACACTGCAGCTGCAGGAAAATCCCCCCTGAAATCACACTCGGGGTCGGGAAGGCAAACAAAAGACAAGAGCAGGATGGTAAAAACACAAATTAAAGGAATAATAACTGCGGGTTCTTCCACCCAGCCAGCCAAGGGGGGATTTGGGGAAGGAAGTGATTTAGGGGGAAGCAGTGATTTAGGAGGTGTCCAAGCAGAAACTTCCAAAATTATTCGGGTTTAAATCAGCAAACTTGGGTACTTTGCTCTCAAAGACTTGCAGAATTCCAACCCAGGGAAGTTCTTGTGACACTTCAGGTATTTAATGAGCCTCAGAACAATGAGGAAA